TCCAAAAGATTTTTGGAGGTTGAGAGATTGCTTTAATATAAATAAATCACACTAGATGCCGTTAGGCATCATTAGGAATATTCTTTTGGCCAGGTTTTCCTGAAACAAAGTGAATTATTCAGAAACTCCTACATGCTTCAACATGTTCATCTGATGGTTTGGTAAAGCGCCAACAGGACCCGCAATCGTAGTCGGAAAAACTAATTTGCAACAAAAGTGAAATAATTCAGACATTCCTGGATGAAAACACGTATTTTATTCTCTCTGGAGCTTTTGACTGCTTCACGTGGTCTTCATCAGACGTTTAAGTGCTCTGTTGAGGTTTAACCATGCTTATATGTAGCTTATACTCATCATAGCTCAAGGCTACGGAACGCATCCAACATCTGCATAGAGGCTTGCAGCAGCCAGTGATGTAATTTTGGCCATTTTAAATGCAACAAAGCCAGTAATACTTTGACTTGCAAGTAACATAAAGTTTTTTGAGGCAATAACAAAAATATTTTGTCAAAAACATCAACACATTTTTGGCTATTATATTGGTTGTGTAAAATTTTAAAAAATCCTTAGAAAATGTACTGCAGCTAATAATGCTAACGTCTATCCGATAGTGTAATTCAATGTCTCCATTACTTTTGAAGAGCTTTTGCAGTTTTTTTTTTTAACAATTGGTAAATCAAAAATAGTCAAAGTAAATATTATACTCGCATTCATTTATAAAAAACTATGCACAATGCAGCACTCTGTCCTTTACTGAAGATTGTACGAGACAATTTGAGGGATAGTTGTACAAAACCTGTTTGTGTTTACTTGGATATGTCAGTTAACAATATTACATGTAGAAAAAAACATATTAAACTGCTGTAACGTGTATCTGGTAGTAAGCAGTTTTAAATGTCGGGAAGAGAATAATTCTTCCATTTAAAACGGAGTCTTTCCTCTCCACTGTCGCCATGTGATTGCTCAGCTTGGGGGATCGCTGCAAAGTTAACGACTCGGTGCAATCCGCTGGGTTTACCGGGAAGAAACCTTTTACTAAACAAACTGAACTTAGCTGCACTGTACTACAACTACAGCTAGAATGAACACTTACATTTTAATTTGCTTATATGACCACGCTGAATTATTTTTGACAAATATCGACAAATTTGCGACTTGTAATAACTGACCTAGATTTGCTACATGTGCAGTTAAAATCTTCCTTGCCTCAAATCAAAACACGCCAAGCAATACTCCTCTGGTGCATTTCTATATTTTATCCTAGAGAAGTGTATTTTAGAGACGGCTCATGCCCGTCTGGTTCTTTAAGGCCAGATTTTTATCCACCGATGAAGACTTTGTGTCATAGATCAAAAGCTCAAGAAAATCAAACAAGCCATTAATGAATATTACTCTCCCTCCAATTTAAGTGCTACAATGTTTTACTTGTGCCTTAACGCACTTCAGCGTTTTGATAGAAAATGATCAGATTGCTTTGAACTCCTGTAATCTTCTACACGTGCAAAACATTTTTAAAAGCAAATGTGTCCTTTACTACAGTAGCATAATATCATACTACCAACATGTGAAGATATATGTAATCAGGAGGACAGCCCACATTAAGAAGGTTTATCTTAAAATCGCTAGTTCTGCAGGCCGAGGATGTTTGTCTGATGAACCAGATCTGAGTTGGTTTAATTATTGTGCTTAAAGACTCAGTTGTGACGCGTTTTCAGTTTTCCAACAGTGTCCACCAAGGTTTTAAACTAAAATTTCCTCGTATTTAAAACACACTGAGTATTTATCTCCATTTCTTGTCAAACTAAACTGGGATGATTTCTGCTGGAAAAACACAATCTTAGTGTCTATTGAGGCCAAAGCACACCGTTCCAGTTCAAGTCCAATGATTTTAGTGCTCTAACTGTGTCAATTATTATTATATATATATATATATATATATATATATATATATCCTCATCCAGTCTCGTTTATCGCAGCTCCTGCAGCTTCAAACTATTCAATTCTGTAGATACGGCCATGTTTAAACAGGCAGCTATTTATTTGGAACTAGTAAATTCCCCGAGAGATTAGCCTGAAATGCATTTATCTCGATTAACAGGAATGTTCACTTATCTTTTCCATTTTGAAGAGCGACTAAAAGAAATCAGCCTGCATCACATTACACGCCTGACTTACAAGAGTAAGTTTTTAGCTTTGTATCATTTCTATTTTTCTCGCTAAAGTATATTTAAATTAAAGGTGGTGTTTTTATTAAATGTTTTCATTCTGAAATGATGCTACTGCAATAAAAGATGAATTTATCTTCAGGCCTTTTCCACATCCTCACAGAGATGTGCGGAGAGCGCCGTGGATTCAGGCTGCGGTCGTCACTGATTTGTGTCCGGACACATCGGCAGACTTCAGTCAGGGTGTCTTTTATTTTCATGTTCTCTACAGCAAATATGACAATGTGTACAAAAATGGAATCGATGTGATCAGAAGGAGAAACAGCACTGCGTGGGTATTTATAGCACCTCTGTTTCTCCCCCCGCCGCGGCCACAGCACCAGAACCCCGACCTCAGCGGGCCGAGGCTCGAAAAGCACCGACAGGCTGGAGCGATCTTTGTGGCCGTTGTTGACGAACGACGTTCTCGGCACCGTGAAGCAGGTCGGACCGTTCCCAGGAACAAATCCCCGGAGTTTCCAGAGGGAGCTGACAAATACAGCAGCAAGAGCTCTTTTGAGTTTTTATTTGGAACAAACCAAAAATAAAACAGCGTCACGTTAGCTCGGCTTTAGCCAAATCTCGAAAAACTGAAATATTACTAGCAATAATATCTTGTGAAATTAGCTGCCTGGAAATGCCGCTGCTTTGTTTATATCCGGCTTTTGCCAGCAACCCTGAGGACTGCAGGGACTCGTTCCTGGAACCTGGACTGCGGCCAACGCCGAGCGTTCCCAAACTCGAGCGGAGAAGAACAGAAAAGCACCACAGTGGTGGAGAGAAAGCAGTGGGAAGTACACGGAGCAATAATTACAAATTGAAACAAAAAAACAAACAAAAAAAAGAAACATTTTCAACTCAGCTGCTAACTAAAACATCCGTGAACTCGGGATTGGACCCGAGCGAAACCGGTGACACTTTGAGAAAGGTGTGCAGTTCCATGCAACTTCGCCTGGAGTTCCTTCAGTTTCCCACGGTTGGATGGAAACGCAATTAGACTTCAGTCATCTGTGGGTTCGGGATGCGTTTAGCGCAGGGGTGCCCAAAGTGGGTCCTCGAGGGAGGGCATCCTGCATGCTTTAGTTCTCTCCCTGGTTTAACGCACCTGGATCAAATGATGGCTCATTAGAGACCTAAGGAGAACTTTGACCTGCTGAAAAGGTTGTTCCTATCACCAGGGAGAGAACAAAAACATGCAGGATGCCGGCCCTCGAGGACCGACTTTGGACACCCCTGGTTTAGCGTATCGGTGGGAACATGAAGGAGCACCGAGTGGGTCACACTTGTAGACAACAGCATAACAAGCTGAGATTGCAATGAGTTTCCACCTACAGCCTCCTCAGAAGAACATGAAAATAAAATGAATAAAACAGTTTATATATATTTATATGCATATACATATGAAAAAATAGTGAAAGGAAAACAGCCTAAGCTCTTTTTTTTTCCAGCTTTGAATTTAAATGTTTCTCTCTTTTTCTGAAACTATATAGATTTGTCCTTTTTTTTTTTAAAACACTATGTTCACATTGTACAAGGGCGAATGAGCTTTGAAGTAATCTAAATGTAACGACAGAAGCACAATGATTCGACATTAAGGCTGAACAGCAAACTTTTCTCACAACTTGTCCTAAAAAAAAAAAAAAAAGGATCAGGATAAACCGCTTGATCTATGAGCTTAAAAACAAAAACAAGCATAGAGTGATACACAAGATCTCCATATATACAGAAACAACAACAAAAAGGACAAAAGTAAGAGCTACGTCTGCAGATGTGGAAGTACTGAATGGTAAAATGGCAAATGCAAGTTTATCAGCTGGTGTTGGTTTATAATAACTGGTGTAAAAAAATGGCTGACAGAAGTGCAAACCAAGATTAGAGCATGCGTTTAAAAAATAAAAACCCGACACGCAAAGCAGAGCAAACGACACAAGAGGGAAAGACGAGATGCCTGCTTGTCAGACTCTGCGTCTCGTCTTCAACACGTTTGTTTGTGATTCACAACACTGTGACAAAGTCGGCCTTAGACTCTGCGTCGCCTCTGAGCCGGAATGGAAGATTGAAATTCAAAGAAACACTTTGTTTTTACAGAAAATCTCTCCAATTACAATCTGAAGCTTAGACTGTAAATCTGTTTGCATGATGGGAAATGAGTGGGTAAGTGCAGTGCATGGTAAACAACACCCAATAGGGTCATTTCACCAGTTTGCCACTTTATACTTTTCTCATTTGACTTTTGCAGGAGTGAAAAAGAACCGTCTGCCGTTGAGATGAACCGGGAAAACGTAACGACCAGAATCTGACGATCTGAGCTGGATCGGCCCTGACCAGCGGCAAGTCGATTGGAGGAAAAAAAAAAAAAAAAACTCTCTCTTTCAGAGAACATTAGCGCTACATGGTCGCACTGACAACAACACTCTTCAGTGTGGAAGTTTCTATAGAGACAAAGTCTCGAAACGTTCATGAGGTGCATGAAGACGTAAAAGGTTACTTAAAAGAAAATTGTATATTGTTGAACATGCCAGAACAAGTCTGAAGTTCATTCAGTGAAAGAGAGAGCAATAATTTGAGTAGATAACAGGAAGGCTTTGTGTTTACGTTAAAAAATGCTGGCTATTAGATCTCTCAGGATTGAGGTCTTAATTTTCTAGCGCCGTGGTAACATATGGGACTCTGGCTAATCTGAGTGATATTCACAAGAAATCTTGGAACACATACAGCCTAGTTAACCGTGATTTACAGGTAATGAATACCAAAAGCTAAAAATATGAACTATTCAAGGAAGTTGATTTTTATTTCTTTTTCTGTCTCAGGAAAGTGCAGAGAAGTTTCCAGAGAACTAAAGTGGGTAACTAACAAGTGCTGATGGCTATTTATGCAGCACCAGTTCTGAAGGCAGACCTCAGATCTGGGAATGTTATCAAAATTGATCAATGTTCCAGGAAAGAAAACAAGCGGGATTTGCTAAGTGAAATGCCGAGTGACCAAGTTAACAGCAATGTTTTTAACAATATAAAGCAGGCTCCATGGTGCTTTGTGATCAAAGATGTCTCTTAAAAGGTAAAAAAAACAAACAATGTTTTTACTATGATTGTCACAATGTTTTATATGCAGAGTAACCACATTTAGCTTGGAGGTCTGGGTTGCTAAACACATCCAGCTTTCCCAACCTTAAGGTGACCTTTATGTCAATCTTTTCCCCCCCAACTTGAAACTTGGACATTTTAACTTCTGAGTAAAAATTGATTAAATAATTAAATTACATCATCATCACTGATAAAAGATTTTTTTCCTGTATTGTTTATCTGTCTGATGATTCTTGACATGTGAACTACAGCAGTGATCACTTTAAAAGATTTTGGAGCTGCTGCCGTCTTCCTCTCTCATACACACACACACACACACACACACACAGTGTGACGTCGCCTCTCATTATTTTAATATTCTAATAGAAGTGGAGTGCTATATTTCATAAGGCAAAGATAAATTACTTAATGCGAGCATTTGAGCATTTGTTTTAAGATTGATTGCATGTTATTCATTAAAATACCTAACTGACTGAATTCCTCTGATAAATAGTTGAACAGTTTGTTTATGGGGATGAAATGCCAACACAGGTACAAACATTATGGCACAAGATAGCAAAGTGGTGAACTGACCCAGAGCTCTTACAACTTTTCCCTTCGCTTCTACAAAAGACAAGAATGGCGTATTAATGTCGTTTTTTTTTTTTTTGTTTTTTTGCTGTCACATCTCATTCATAGAAACCATTTTAATAAGAAACTGACTTTACATAGTGGTATAAATCAGTTTTTCTTTTAAATTAGTGCAATTCTTTTGGTTTTCAGCCCTCCTAGCTTTTTGCTTACAGATAATAAAGATGCACCTTTGTAGCCTTTTGTAAACAAAGTTTCCCGTTTTAGCGGTTCCCTTTGGAAAACTGCAGAATGCACTGGAGGGAGAGGGTTACTTATCTCTGCATGCGGTGAAAACATGTTGCTCTTTTTTTACGGCGCGACTTGAAGAGCTGCCAGGGAGTTGTTTTTAGAACGCGCTCTGTTTAAAAATCTTCAGTTTGATCCCATTAAAACGAGAGAAGGAGCAGCATGCTTAAAACAAGAAGTAAACATGGCACAGCAACAAAAGCCAAAAAAAATAAAAAAATAAAACAACCCATGAACAACATGACAGAGGAAGGAGGTTTTGGTACAAAGTTCAAAAGCTGCTGAGATGGAAGCAGCAGCTCCATCTCAGCAGCTTAAACCCGACGTTTAAGCTGCTGGTTCTTTCACTTTGAGAATCACATCCCTGAACAACAGGAAGGAAATGACTCGAATAAGCAGGTTGTCGTTTGTTTAAGTGTGATGTGGTCCGTCTGTTTTCCCTGACTTGAGTTTGCATTGATCATTCACCTCGCGCGTCTCTCGCTTCCTTCTCGTTTCCGCCTCTTATCCAATCCGCTTGCGTTCCCCGTGGAGTGCTGAAGGAACAGGAATGATTGTGACGCCGGTGATGGAATATGACCTCAAAACGTCCAGAAATGAATCAAAACGAGGGAAAGGATTGAAGGAAGAACAACAAAAAAAAAAAATTCTCCTCCAATGTTCTTTTGGATAGAAAAGTAAAAGTCTTCTTTTGAATCTTTTTATCATAACACAAAAACACTTTTTGGTCCTTTTTTTTTTTGTTGTTTGTTTTTCCTCAATTGATTCTTAGACAAGACTCTCCATTTAAAACCAGAGCTGTACAAAACTAGAAAGATGCAACACTGAACCCGACATGAAAAGATCTATTTTTACACCGCTTAGCTGCACTGGGGCTTCCCATTCGCTGGGGATGACGGGAATGGTGGAGGCAGATTTAGGAATCCTGGACAGAACCGGGGAGGAAGGGGGGGAAAAAAAACAAAAAAACAAAAAGAAAAGCTGCTCTGCCATCCTTCATTTGCCTCCGCTGCTGGAAGGGATTCGCTAACGTGGAAGAGGGGCCGGAGTTTGACGGATAGTTGCGTTTCTGGGTTTGCAGAAAGGCCGAGTGCATGCAGAATGAAGCCCCCTCGCTCCACGTTTCTCTGGCCGACAGCTACGGCGCCTGCTGCTGAGGCGTTGCATGGGCCGGCTGGGATCAGTCGGTGAATCTCTGACAGGCTTTCTTCCAGCGGCAGGCGGTGCACCACATGTCGCGGTTTTCCATCCCGTACACCTTACGGCACTTCTTCCCCTCGCCGCGCACTTTCCGGCTGGAAAAGGGAAACGACACAAAACAAAAAGGTCACTATGTGGTGAAGTAAGCAATTAATATCCATTGTGCTAATGTGCAAAAAATAATTTTCATAACAGGCATTACGAAAATTGAGGTGCATTTTTGTTTTTGCAGATGACGAGCAGCGAGGGTCCAGTACCTGAGGGCAGTGGTCGCTCTGGGAGGGGACGAAAGGACGGCGATGGTCTGGGATCGCTGCTCTCCAAATCCCTGGCTTTTAGTGGGAGACACCTGGAGAGAAAACACAGAAACTTAATCATGTGAAGCAAAAGGTTAAAAAAACCCACTAAAAATTGGATTGCATTTAATAGCAAAATCCTCCCAGTGTCACAGCTCTAAAAATTACTGTACCAAAGCATTTTAGTAGCTTTTATTAACTTTAAGTGATCCCTTTTTCCCTGGTTATAAATTTTTCTTTGTAAATACAAATAAGTTTCCCAGTTTTTTTTTTTTTTTTTGCTACTCTGCTAAACCATCTCAAAATTCCCATGTTTCACAAACCCAGTTTTACAGATTTTTCCATATCTGTTTTAAAAGGATTATGACAATTAGTGCACAAAACACTCATCAGGTTTTGTAACAAAAAACAGTGTATTCTCCATTTTCTTTTTTTGCCTCAAAATTTAAAAAAAATCATCAAGACTTCAAAACATCTGGACTAGACCGTCACCTTTTGAAAGACCTTCAAAAAAACCTAAATAATGAAACATTGGGTGAAAAATTCAGCAAACTAAGAAGCTAAGTCATTTTCAGAAATTAAATGCTTTGTCTTTGAAATTACGGAACAAGGCGTGAAATCAGAAAAGTCTAACATTTCTCTATCCTCGTGCTGCGGGCGGAGTCGATGTATTTTGATGGCTGTGTAAATAAACGTCGACGTTCCCTCACCGTGTTTCCTGTGAAAGTGACGGGAGGAGACTGCCAGGAGATGCTGAAGCTGTTGGTGGGAGTGAAACTAGTGGAGGACGAGTTGCTGCTGCTGGAGGGGATGGACACCGGAGCCGTGGCCTAAAGGAGGAGATTCGAACGTTTTAACGTTTCCGTGCAACGCTGCAAGTCAAAAACCTTCCCTTCATTTCATTTTGACAGCTAATATTTCCTCGCCTGATAGGCGTGGTCTGTGTGGATGAGGTAGAGGGCGCTCGGAGCGGAGCGGCTGAGCGGGGTGGTGCCGCCGGGGTGGGGCTCCTTGGAGTCGGACGGGTGGGCGAGTCGGTGGGAGTCCGGCTGGTGGTTGAGAGGGGCCAGAGGCGACGGGGGCGGCGGTGGGGGAGAGAGGACGGAGGAGGACACAGGCGACAGGCTGCTCAGCCCGTCGGCGACGGAATCCGTGTTGAGCTTGATTTCTGTGTAGTAGAAATCCTCCTCGCCGTCGCTGCAGTCTGAATCACAGCTACGCCTAAAAAAAAAAAGAAAAAAAGAAAAAAGTGACACGTAGAGATTTAGAAAAGCAAGAGAGAAAGCATCTCGGTGAAACCTAATAATGTCAGTTCACTCGTCAACATTAGACAATTCATCTTTCATTCTCGCTGTTTTCCCCTGGATTCTCACAACATGACCAGGAGTTTTTTTTTAAATTTTTTTTTTATAAATGCTGACTAGTTAGTGAATGCTGGTGTCTCACCCCAGGTGGATGGTGCGGATGTGTCTCTGGATGCCTGCAGTGGTGCTCAGCACCTTGCCACAATTCTTCCACAGGCACTTGAACATCACCTTCATGGAGTTCTGCAGGAAACGCAAAACAGAAACGTGCTAATTCAGATTAAGGTGATAATCTGAATTTAAAAGTTGACGGATGAGAAGCCAGCATAAAGCTGTGGATTGTTGACTCTGCCTGTAGCACAGACTAAATTAACTTACCTGAAGCAAATAATAAACTTTAATTGACGTGTTGCAGAACAAACAGTGTTTGTAGGCAGGAACAATTAAACCAGCCACTCAAGGACTAAAGCAGAGTCAATAAAGTGTAATAATAGTCAGTTTGGTTCATTTGTAGAATTGCTGGGAACAATAATATTTTCTCTGCCTTATGTCTAACAGTAACTCCGCCGTTCTTTTGGTCCCACTGAGTCAGGAAGCAGCTGCAGCGGCGACAAAAACAACCTCTCAAACTTTGAACTAGTGATTAATCGGCCGCTCTGTTAATCAGGATGATAATTTCCCTTTACTGGCTTAATCTCCGTGCGCTGATTATTCCAGGGCATCAACCGTTAATCATTTCACAACAACGGGAACCAGAAAATAAATAAGTTTAAAAAAAAAATAAAAAATCGCAGACACATCTGCATTGCAGGCAGCCTTGCCTGCGGATATGATAAAAGACGATGGTTTTAATTAGACCTGGATTGTTTTTTCTCCCCATTGCAAGTCAGATTAAAGAACAAACCAACTTAAAATGAGTTAAACATAAAAAAAAAAAAAAAAAAAACGTATGGCTGCTCTGCTCTCAAAAAAAAAAAAAAAAAAAATCCCGCTTGGGTTGTCTTTTTTTTTTTTTGGGCCCCAAAATTGGGGGGGCG